TTGAACTAACTTGCCCAACACTACACAGCCAATAAGGCCAGGCCTGGATTCTGAACCCTGTTTGACTTCCCATCAGGTACTCAAGCATTCTGCATCAATTGCGTAACTCAGATACAATGACTGTATTCTACCTTTGTTTACAGATGAAGAGAAACACGGAGAGGTTAAATAATTTGTTCAGGACCATACAATGTGTGCCAGAGGTGCCTCCACTCTTAAAGACATGGGAGATTTTGATGGACTGTAGGAGAAGAAAAATCCCAGGACTTACCATGGTCAGGTCGAATCTTCTCACCCCTGGGCAGCCAAGGCTTCCCTATGATGAGGAGCTTCTGGTGTGAATGAAGCCTCTACTTGATTGTCACAGCATGAAAACTGAGCAAACTGATGGCTGTGCTTCCTTGAAAGCACTGGCATCAGTACTCAGCAGTAGTGTGGATGGGAATGCCACTCTGAACTTCCCAAGTACTTTGCAACAATGGCATTACCTGGATATGACGTGTTTTGCCTTTGATTTTCAACGAAGAGATGGACACAGGTTAAGTAATTTAGCCAGGACAATATAATCTGAGCTGAGACTTGAACTAAAGGAGACTGCTTCCAGGATCAGTCACTCACTGCATCTTAGCACCAATATTCTGCCGAAGTCAAAAAGTTACCTTTTCTTTTGCTAGCACTGGAGATAGAAAGGAGGTATCCCTGGACTCCCATCCCATAGGGACACGTGCTCATTAGTTCTGCCAGGACTCTGGGGCCTCTGCCCACTGATGATTAATTAGCCACTGTTGACAGTGATGTTAAGAACAGAGAGGATCGAGGTCAGCATTCCATTAGAATATTCCATGTTGAAAATGTCACACTCTCCTTTGTGTCACTAGGGGGCATAATGGCATTGTTTTAGCTATGGTGTCCTCTTGGGTGTCCCACTTATTTCTCTTAAGTCTTGTTTTAACCCTTTCAATACACAAGTATTGTATTTTATTTCTTATCTCTTTGTCAAAATTCAGGTACACCTTACATAAATGAAGTACTTAGGTTTAAAAATACTTTTTTATTATCATGTATTAGTTAGTACATTGAGTTCCAGTATGACATGTTTATATATGTGTGCAATCTATTTTAATCATATTCATCCTCTATTACCTTTTTTTGTTCTACTTCTCCTCCCATTATTCTCTTCCTCCCTCTATTTTCATGTCCTTTTGTGTGTGTGTGTGTGTGTGTGTGTGTGTGTGTGTGTGTGTAACCCAGTGAGTTATACTAGGTTTGCTTACAGTAATGTAGGTGAAGGGATATTTACAGGAGCATGGGCCCCTCACCAGACATGAAGACAATGTCTCTTTTTCCTTCTCAGTCTCATTACATATGAACGCACCTTAACAGCAGGCAGTTTATTACTTATGTACTTCAAAAAGGATGACACTGAATCTAAAGGAGTGTATGATGGCAATAGTGTTGAGATACCCTACTATGTTGTCAGGAGCAGTGGGTTGTGGGCCAGAGATGCACTGCTTCCTGCAGCAGCCTGTGGAGTTCTTTCACAGACTTCTACATGAGTGAGGATGGGAGGAGTTTGCTGAAGACAGGAAATTCAGTGTGAGCCAATGTGAAGCAGAGATTGATTTTACTAGGAAGAAACTCTCTGTAGACTCAAGCATTGGAGACAGAGGTACTCAGAACAGGGTAGAGCACATAGAAAGTGTGTATTTGGACTTCACAAGAGACAGTTGCTCTTTATTTTCTCATTAGCTGCCATTATTTTTGGCTGCCTTCAAATAATATCTCAAAAGGTTGCTAAGAATATCCCCCCACCTCTTTTTGGTTTTCCCTGCCTGGGGGACCAGCCTCCAGCAGCGCAGGGCTCAAAGGGAATCAAAAAAGTCAGCACGCTATGACTTTCTTTATGAGGGGGTGAGGGTAAAGACACTCACACACTCTTTTGATGGTTTCCTTCAGACATTTTCTTTATTCTTCTTTTGCATTCTCTTCTCTTTTCTTATCTCTATCAGGAACTGTCACTTCTGTCTCTCTTGATGTTTTCCCCTTAATTCTCTCATTCTTGATGTTTTCCTTGTCATTCTCTTTATTTTTTTTCCTTACAGCTTGTATACCTGAGCAAAATCTTTCAAGCAATATAAAAATTACAATGTGGTTACATTTTGTTTTTCAAGTGAATGATTACAATGAATACAAGTAAAAAAGGTATGTTTTACATGATTAAATATTTTATGTATTATGGATGAAAAACAAATTATCCCTAAGAACCCATGTACATTCATACCCAAGCAATGTGTTACAGATTAACAGTTTAAGCAAGCAAGATATTCTTCTCAGCTAGTTCTTTTACTGGCAGGCTATGTTGTGCAGTCACAAAGAAAGGTCCAATCACTTTTTTTACTTATCTTGTAAAAGGTAATCTTATAAGGAATCTTAAAGAAATCAATCACAAATCTAAACTTTTATATATGAAAAAGAACCAGTCAGCTCTACTTTAAATCTTCAGGGTGCATACTTACTCATCAATAGCTTTTTATATCAGGAGACTGAGGGCAGAAATGGGTACAAGGAATTAATCATCACCTTTGGTCATCAACAAACCCTAACAAGAAAAACACACCATCTAATGATAATTGGGCTGCTTTGTTCTTGTTCCCTGACCTTAATGAACTCCTCATTCAACTATGTGCCTTTCTAGAACTTTAGATTGCCTTTTTGGGTCTTTCACCTCAAAGCTATTTGACAAAAACATCTTAGTCTAACTTTAAGTTATTTTCAAAGCTGTGTTTCAGCTATGATGCACTCTGAGACTGGTGAACACATCTCCCAACATTAAAATTAAAAGAATTTAAGCTAGCTGGGCTACTGAGACTCAATTGTTTTTCTTAATCATTAACCTAAGCCATAGTCTATGTGACTCCTCAATAGAAACTCATGTGTTCTAGCTGTGTGACACTTCCTTGTTTTATTTTTATCATCAAAACTCTATAAAAACATTATTATAAATTAGACAGTACAGCTTAGGAAGAAATCTTCATAATAGTCCACAGGTAAAAATGACCAGTAGAACGTGATATTTCCATGATATAAACACACTATATTACAGGCAGTAGGGATCTCCCACACCCATTCACACCATGCCAGACACCAGAGGAAGATGGCAGACACAAACATGTAAAGGCACAGCAGAAGCAAAAGACATTCTGGAGTCTGTGGTCTTGGGGTCTTGTCTATCTGAGATTTACCTATCAGGGATTTTCCTACTGGTGGGCTGACACCTTGAACTGGAGTCTGTGGTCTTGGGATCTTGTCTATCTGAGATTTACTGGTGGGCTGACACCTTTAACTTCAATTGCCACCTGCTGCTCCTCTGAAATGGCCACTAGCATTTGGTCAATGAGATTATACGGTAGCTCCTGAGGTGTCTTGGGTAGGAATACAACCTGATCAGATGAAACCATAGGTGAAAGGGTTGTATAGGGGCCTAAAACATATCTTTTATGATAACTGGAGGTTCTTGTGTCTTAGAAAAGTGCAGGTTTATAGTTGGGAAAGGAACAAGGTCATTCCTGAAGGTAGTAATGAATCATGTGCTTAAGCCATGATTCATTATTTTAACATTCTTATTGGAAACTTCTCTACATAAAAGAATGGTGCCTTTATGTAGGCAACCTTCGTAACAAATGTTAACTGTGCTCCAATTCTGGATTCTCAGCTGGCAGAGGCTTAAACAAGATTCTGGGGTAGGGGCTACTTTCTTTTCCATGTCCCTCCATTTTCTCAGTCCTGTTTCAGTTTTAGCGACTTTTGTTCTTGCTAGGACCAAAAACCTGACGAGAATCAGTATAAGGGGTGAGGGTTTTTTTTTGGCTCATAGATTGAGGGAATGCAGTCCATGATGATGGAAAAGCATGGTAGCAGGGATGTGAGCAACAGAGCAACACTGGATTCACAGTCAGGAAGCAGAGGGTGGATGCAATTGAATCTATGCTCTGAAAACTCAAGGCCTGCCTCAGTGACCCACTTCCTCCAGCCAGGAGCCAATTCCTAAAGGTTCCACACCATTCCAAAAGAATTCCATTACCTGTGGACCAAATGATCAAACACATGAGCTTATAGGGGCATCTCACATTCAAGTCACAACCTCCATCAGTGAAGACACAGTGTCTAGTTGCAGATAGCTCTCATGTCCTGTTGTTATATCCTAATGTTATGAGGAAGAAAACCTCATGCTCTGCCAGAAGCTGGGAGGCCACAAGGAAATGTTTCATGACTACAAGGTGCAAAGATAGATGATAGATAGATGATGATGATGATGATGATGATGATGATGAGATATATATATATATATATATATATATATATATATGATAGATAGAGTTAGGAGATAGACAGATACGTAGATGATAGGCAGAGACTTAAGACATCACTAGACTATCACATTCTCTCACATTGTAAGATGATCAAAGGGCATCTTTCCAAATTTCAGATTTGTTATGCCCTAAGCCTTTGCTTACATGGCAATGCAGATATACAGATATAACAGCTGGTGAGAGAAGATATATGAAGAAACAACCAAGGCAGAGTTTGAGGATGTATAGAAACAAAGGCAATAAAATACAGTGGAAAAGAGGAGAAATATAAAAAGTTGATAGTGCTTGAACTTAAGATCTATAAAGGAAATGCATATGTTCTCACTTTCCCTCCCTCCCTCTCCATAGTCACACTGTCCCACTATAGTGGCTCAGTTGTGTGGCCTTAGAAGCTGAACATTTAAATTTTTTTCAAAAATATATTTTCATTGAAATAGAATTATATCACTTTCCCCTCCCTTTTCTACCTCTAGCTCCTCCCAGGTTCCCACTCTCCAACTCCTCACACATCTTCCCCCTCTCAAGTTGATAGCTTCTTTTTCTGTTATTATTATTATTGTTACATAATATATATGCAAAAATATATAAATACAACCTACATATCATGAAGAAACTCCATTTAATTCAGAAAGCACACAAGTATTTCTCCCTCAGCTCTCCCCAGAGTCCCTATCCTTTCCCAGCAGCCTCCAGAATGCCCTCTTGACCTCCTTGTTCCTCAGGGTGTATACAAGAGGGTTAAGAGAAGGAGTGCCCACTGCATAGAAGAGACCAAAGAACTTGCCCCTCTCTTGGGCATAGGGATTTTTGGGCTGCAGATAGACAGCAATGACTGAGCTGTAGAAGAGGGTGACCACGATGAGGTGGGAGGAGCAGGTCCCAAAAGCTTTCCTGCGTCCTTTTGAAGTGTTAGTCCTCAGCACTGCCCTGGCGATAGCACCATAAGAGACAAGGATGAGACTCAGAGGCACAAGCAGAAAGATGACACCTGCAACTGCCAACTGAATCTCATTAAAAGTAGTGTCCCCACAGGAGAGTCGAATTAGAGATGGGACTTCACATAGAAAGTCATCTATCTGTCTATGGGGACAGAATGGCAGGCGGAGGGTGGGTGGTACCTGAACTATGGATTGAGCCAAACCTATAGCCCAGGCCACAGCTGCCAGCTGCCGACACAGGCGGGGGTGGATGATGGTGGCATAGTGCAGGGGCTGGCAGACTGCCACATAGCGGTCAAAGGCCATCACTGTCAGGAGGATACACTCGGTGGTCCCCAGAAGCATGAAGATGAAGAGCTGGACAGAGCATCCCAGGAAGCTGATGGTCTTTGTGGGTCCCCAGAGGTTGACCAGCATCTGGGGCACACAGGTTGTGGTGAAGCAGAGGTCCAAGAAGGAGAGGTTTGAGAGGAAGAAGTACATTGGAGAGTGGAGCCTGGGGTCCAGTGTGGACAGCAGGAGGATGAGTGTGTTTCCTAGGAGTGTGAGAAGGTAGGAACACAAGACAACCACAAAGAGAATCTTTTCCAGTTGTGGGTGTTCAGAGAAGCCCAGCAGGAAGAAGCCCACTGGGGAGCTGTGGTTGACCATGGCTTTTTGTGTCTGGTTAGTGAGATGAAGCTGTCAGATTAGTGTGATATAAGGCGTCTCATGAAAACTCACTGTATTTGCTTTTCATAGTCAGGACATGCTGGATGGACATTTTTCTTCTTCCTCTGCTCCCCCAAGTTCACTTTCCAGGCTCATCACCGAGCAGGTCGTTGCCCTCACCTGTTTCTCTTGGTCAAACGTTGTGTAGTGGCTGTGAGGAAACCAAGAATGTGAAGGAGGCTGGGTAGATCCTCACATTGGTCCCCTGACTTCCTGGTTAAGGGTGGAGAATGCTGATTTCTGACTGGTTAATCAACTCATTCACTCATTCAGAGAAATGTGTTGGGTGCCCTATATCCTCAGTGCTTTTCTGTTTTTACTCGGTGCTTCCTCATGCTTACTATCTCTTGGGGGAATTAGTTAAATACTATGTTTTTGGGGTATGGATGTACCTCTGAGGCAGTATTCACTGCCTTATTTACCAATAAGTATTCGCTAGGTTAACACAGAAATGGTGAAACTTACAGAGATACAACCTGAAAATTCATTCAAAATAATTGGTTTGAATTTATTTTATTTCTTTATTTACTTATTTATTTGTAAACTGCAGACCTAAACTACAATTCATAGGCTGGCCAGTGCCTCCAGGCAATCTTCCTGTATCAGCTTCTGGAATGCTGGGACTGTAAGTGTGAGCCACCAAATCTGGCTCAGAATGTGTTATATATATGAGAGGTTTTCTTTCATTTTAGGAGACTCCATTCATACATAGCAGATCATTTCAGCTGTCTTGGCTTCTTTACAATTTATTACTAAACAGCTGCCCTGGATAGGAAGTAGCCTTGTTCCAATCACTCAGTCCTCATGAAAAGTTAACAGTCAGGATGCAAGAGTGGCTTGTTAAAATTACTGTGGCTCACAGTTGCATTATCAAAAGACTTAGATATAAATTTCAATCATGCAGGTCTATGAGGTGATTGAAAGTACAGAATTAATAAAGTGAAGGGCAAACTTGGGGAAAATTTCATCCAAGAAAACTCCATCAGTGAAGTGACTGGAAATATTGGAACATAGCCGGCCAGCTCAGTGACAGATTGGGGAGGTTGCGACTCCTCTGGAAGCTGAACCGAGGACACAGGGTTCTCTGGCCTGGCAGATGACAGGATAGCAATGGGTAGGTGGGGCCCCGCCAGAAGTGTTCTAAGAAGGAAGAACACTCAGGTACAGGGCTTCACTCACTGCCCCATCATTATTTCCAGAACCTTCTGGTTTTTTTTCTTGCCCCCTTGTTCTTGATCCTACAGAATATTTTTCATTATTATTATTATTATTATTTTATATTCAAATGAAAGTATAGACAAAGCAAATCTCTACAGTATAAACAATAAGGAATTCAACCTGTAATGTATCCAATAACCAGGTTAAGGTTGTAAATAGACATTCCAGGTATTTTAGAGGGCCCTGTGTGCCCCTCCCTGACTTCTCATTTTCCATTCTGAAAGATGGAACTACCAATCTCAACTTTACATGAATTATTCTCTGTCTTCTCATAACTTTTGTTTCTTTAAAAATACGTTGCACAGGGGCTGGAGAGATAGCTCCGTTGTTAAGGGCACTTGTTCTTTTGCAGAGGACCATATGTCAGTTCCCAACACCCACATGGTGGCTTACAACAATTCCATAAACTCCTCCAGAAGATCTGATGCCTTCTTCTGATCTCTGCAGTTACCAAGCCATGTAGTGAACACATGCACATGCATTCAAAAATAATCATACGTGTGATAGAAAATAAAGAAATCTTATTAAGATGCATTGCATTTATTTATTTATTTTTGTGTGTGTGACAGCATACATGTGAAGGTAAGAGGACAGTTTGTGGGAACTGCTTTACTTCTATCATGAGAATCCATGGGATTGAATTCAGATTGTCAGGACTGGTGGAGGCTGGTCACTTGAAGGGGGTAATGAAGGTCTGGTAGTCATTTTCTTCTTTTGCTATTAGCACTTTCCAACTGTGGAGTGTGTCACTTGTGCCAAGTATAGCAAACGGCTGCCTGAACATCTGGTTTCCATAGCAACCCTGCATAGATCTTACAATTTTACCATGAATTTTTACAGTGAACTCTCTCGGGGCAAGTAAGGTTTGTCAGGTCACCCACTCAAAAAAATGTTGGGACTAAGAGAATTCTAGAGACTTTCCCCCATACCTGGAGGAATACGGAGGAAAATACCTAGTGCAGAGCTATGACAGACTGACATTTTTCTACCCAAAATGTGAGGGCTTGAGGCCACCAGATTAGTGTGATTTAATGTGGCTGATTAAACTCAACCCAGTTTTGCAGTACCTAATACCTGTCATCTTGGCAATCAAGAGGCAGCAGTGGGTAGATTTTATCTTGGGGTACAGTTGCCTCAAAAGCTAAAATCAACCCCTAAAGTAATAGAACCCCAAAAGCAGATAGATAAAAGCCCCTCACCGCTTAAAACTCTCCTTCTGGGGCTCTATTGTTGAGGACACATGGAAACCAGTATTACATGAGAGAACAGCAAATATTTTACTTACCCTCATCTGAAGAAGATCTGCTTTAGTTGTCAGCAATTGACCATGTTGAAATTCTTAATTGGTTCTTTGTCTGTGCATGGACATCAAGAAGAAAACTTGAAATAAGGAAGAATGATGGTCTCTGAAAGGGCAACTAGATCTCTGGTTGTAATAAGAATCTCTAAGCTTTATAGCCAGGCTCTTTTTTTGAGTAGACACTCATATAATATGTTAGAACTAACTTATTTGATACTTAAATTCTCAGATTTTATGAGATAGCTTTTAAATTATAATTACCTAAGATCATCCATGCCAGGAGCATTTGTGCTGTGTAAACAGAGCAAACATTGTAAATAAGGGCTCTGCATTCCTCCAGTCAAGCTGTTAAGCATTTATCCACACACCTCTGATTGCCTCTTACAACTCTATGTATTAGTATCTTTCTTTTTACATAAGGAAGTTAACAAAGAAAGCTTAAACCACTAGGCTAGCACAATATAGTGGTAAGCACCAGAGTTCATGTGTAAACACAAATGAACTGACTGTTTACCAACCACAGCCTGCTGCCTTTTCTATGGGGTAAATGAGGCCAAATGGGGTAGAGGCATCTCTTAATTAGCAAGATTTTGGCAAGCAGTCTGTAGAGAAGTTAGCATCTGTTTTAGTGGTCCTGGTAGTAGAAAGCCTGACACTGTATATGGTGGAGAGAGGGATCCCAGAACTCCTGTTCTATAGAGAGAAATATCTCATTAATTCAGCTGAGACACAAGGGTTCCACAGCCCACAGACAATTAGCTAGTAATTATGGTGGAGGGGGCAGGGGACTCCTGGTGAAAGTGTGCCAACCATAGCCATTACTGGAATAAGGGACAAGGCCACCATTCCTTCTCTGTTAGTAGAGATGACAATAATCACATCTGCATTATTTGCGACATGAGGCATTTTCACAGGACTTTGAAACTATTTGTCATAGCTAGAATTGTCAAACTTGACTTTTAGTAAAGGTCTTTTTTAATAGCTGGTTTGCAAAATTCTAGAAAACAACAGTTGGCTCCATTATTATAATGTATATTTTGTATAATTTTGATCCACCTTCAAGTGTGATTCTTTCATTTGCCAGTTCTAATTATCTGCTGAATCTCTCTGGATAATTTCTAAATCTTATTTATTTTATTTTTCAACTCCATAGTTCCTACTTGGACTTTCCTTATTTTTCTTTCTTGTTTTCTCCATGGTCAATCTCTTTTCTTTTCTCTTCTTCTCCTTTCTTTTTCTTTATTCCTCCACCACTTTTCTTTTTTATTCACCTGAGTCACTATTTAATGCATTAATGATTATTTTAAAAATGAAAACTTGACACAGGTCATGCCTGCCAGAAAGCCAGGTAGGCTACCCATAGACTTTTTCCTGTAGCTCTCTTCCCCTAGACCCAATCTGCACTCTACTTCCTAGCACTGCAACAGAACACCAGCTGCAGCCTCCCCTCACCCCCACCCACATCTCCTGTGGATTACACAAAGCATCCCATCCTAACTTTATCCTCCCATTTGTTGCTGTATCTCAGATACAGGCATCTTCTGCTAACCCAAGGGCTGCCTTTCTTAGGGCAAGGAGTAGGCTGAAGGCAGACCCACACCTCTTCTACTGTTCCTGAGATCCAGTAACCCCCGATCCCCCTCCACTGTCTCATCCTCATTCTGTAGATGGAAACCTGCTGTGGTCTCCATTTCCTCTCTGACCTCCATCCCCAAGGGATCATAAAAACCTTCACCCCAACCTTCCTTCCCCAACTCATCCCAGTTACCCAGCCTCCAACACTAACAGGCATTCCCTGGGAATATACCAGCTGAACAGCCTAGGAAAACAGGCAACATGCAGCCTTTCCACTCTGAAAATCCAGAGAAGAAACAGAATCCAAGGAAAAAAACACTCACCCAACAAAGACAAATGCTGAGAAGCCAGCACAAAAACACAATGAACAGCAATCAGGGTAGTATCTCTCCACTAAAGCCTAACTATCCCACCACAGCAGGCCCTGAATATTCTACCATAGCTGAAGCATAAAATAAAGACTTTAAAACAGCCTTCATGAATATGATGAAGGTCCTTCAAGAGGAAATGAGTAAATTCCTTTAAGGAATCCAGGATCCCTGGGATAGCTGGTTCTGCCCCTCACTGGATACTACAGCAGGAGAGCTGTGCCCACCATGGGAGACTACCCCCTGCACTCAGGAGAGATGGCCCCACCCCTAACCACAGGCATGGGAGAGCTGGCCCCAATGTCATGGGCCTAGGAGAGCTGGCTCTGCCCCTTGCCTGAGAGGGAATGATCCCAGTGGCCCTGACTGATGAGCTCAGCTACAACTCAGACCCACATCCTGGGCCTTGGGTTGGTCCACCCTATCAACTACCCCATCTATGACCTGCTGTAGTGCATGAAGGAACTGCTTCTGTGGAATGATAACTGAAGAATCTTCATGACTTAGGGCAACAGCAAGATATCT